CAGGAGAAACTGAAGAATGGATTCTTTGAAAAATTCTTTCTCAAATTTTGCACAAGGCTTCCTGCAGGCTTTGTCAGAAATGCATAATTTGCTGCAGGTAAACTGTGTCACAGCAGATGTGTTCAATAAAGCTGCTAGTTATTGAATCTTACCAACATTAGCGTCCTCTTGCAAGTGAACACAGTGACCATCAAGGCGATGATCATCTGACATCAACTGTTGGCCATGTCATCCAAATGTCCAACTCCAGACTCCGGAAGCAAGTTTTATTCTTCCAGCTTAGTCAAGGCTTACAGTCAAGAGTGGGGCAGAGAAAGCACTTCAAGGACATCCTCAAGGCTAACTTGAAAAAATGCAACATTGATATCAACTCATGGAAGACTGTGGCTCAGGACCACCCCAAATAGAGAGAAGGTCTGTTGATCCTGGATAGTCCTCATCACCCATATTCAGACCCACAGATAAGACAACCATGGAAAATGATCATCCTTGACTGCGAGGGATTGCCAGTGATGTATTGAATCTTAACACTGAGTCTTAGTTCTCAGATAAAATCTAGGCTTTCAGGACTCTGAGAACAAACAATTGCAACTTTTAAGTTCCTTAAATGTGCTAAATCTATGTGATAAATATACCTGAAGAACTGTCATAAGAGTACAATATATGGATTTTTTGTCTGTTCATTCTAGAAACTATCAAACAGACCAGAGAGGATATTTCAGTTCAGTAGCGTTGTTCCTGGTTACCTTCTTGTTCTGCAGTTTCTTTTATTGCCCTCAGACATTTGGTAATCAAATACCAATCACTCTCATATATCATATTGACTCACACAGGCCACTGAGCAGCCCTCCAAGTCTCACAAAGGTCATAACATTTCTTTAATCCTAACCTGCTTACTTTTCTGTGGCTGCCCACTTTCTATATAGTCTAATAAGATGTGAACTGACTGGCAGCATGCCACATGTGTGCTAGCATGCCTGTTATGTTTTCACAATGAAATGAGATGTCATTTAGGATGAAATCCAAAAGGAGGCGGGTCCAGGGTTAAGGTGTCATTTAGGCAAAGGTCTTTATGGTTTGCTATTTTACTATATTTTCAAAAGTTTACTGAAACAGTCTTTCTATTTTAAAAGAATTGAAATATATTTGGGTTTTTTTCTTCCTCCTCTGTTTTTGTGTTCACTTTTTGAAATCCCTCCACAAAAGCTTTCTCTTTCTTCTAGATGTCTACAGTTACTTCCAGTCATTCTTCCCCTAACTTTACTCTTTCTCATCTATTTTCTTCCCCCAGACTTAGCAACCTAATTTGTCCTCCTCTTCATTTCCTACACTCTATTTCTTCTCTTCCTCTGAGTGTCACTTTAATTCCAGGTGAATTTTCCAGGCTCTTGCCTTGCCCCTGGATGTTCCCTCTGAGGCAGTGGCTGTCACACAACTATCCATGGGGTGCCAGAACCCTGTATTTCTTCCTGCTGTACAACTGCTTATCCCAAGGAACAGACCGAGTTTGGTCCTGGGATAACTCTTTAGCTCCACCAGCCTCAGTTCCACTGTCCTTATGCTGGACCTCACAGCTGCAGCAAGGGAATCTCTGCCAACTCTAGATGGTTTCACCTTGAGTTGTGAAAGAAATTTTAGGTCTCTCATTCCATACATACAAAAGGCTCACTTGTCACTCAGAGATCACTCTTTCAATAGGCAAACAATATGGAGACAAAGCAACAAAAGGATTTAGCATGTAGAAGCAAAAGAATTATATAGACACAACTGACTATAAGCTTGGAAACAGAATAAAAAGACAAGTAAAGTCTCTCTTACCCTCTCAGCTGGCTACACTCTAGCTTTTCTTAGGAGTCCCACCTGTCTTTGCAGTAATTCAGTCTTCCTGTTGATTCTGCTGGCCCCAGATGCTGGGGACCCTGGACTCTCCATAGAGTGACTTAAGCAGATTGGAGGATTGGGCCAAAAGATATCTCATGAGGCTCAACAAGGAGAAATGCAAAGTCCTACACTTAGGACAGAGTAATCCCATGCACCGGTACAAGCTGGGGGCTGACTGGCTGGGCAGCAGCTCTGCAGAAAAGGACCTGGGGGTTGCATTGGACAATAAGCTGAATGAGCCAACAGTATAACCTTGTTGTCAGGAAGGCTAACAGCATACTGGGCTGCATTGGTAGGTGTGTTGCCAGGAAATCAAGGAAAGTGATTATTCCCCTATATTCATTGACTCCTCAAACTACATTTTCACTGACTGCCTGTCTTGTATGCATACCAGCTCAGCCTCTGGCTTTTTTACTTGTCATTCCATCCAGGAAGAGCACACATCAACTGCTGAAACTTCCTTAGCCTGATGAAGGGTTTTTGAACCCAAAAGCTTGCTTAAAAATTGTTCTCCAACTACTTAAGTTGGTCTAATAAAAGATATCAGATTCATCCAAAGAACCTTGTCTGCCTATTCCCCTATATTTGGCACTGGTAAGGCCACATTTGGAGTACCGTGTTCAGTTTTGGGCCCCCCACTATAGGAAAGATGTGGACAAATTGGAGAGAGTCCAGCAGAGGGCAACAAAAATGGTGAGGGGGCTGGGGCACATGACTTCTGAGGAAAGACTGAGGGAACCGGGTTTATTTAATTTAGAGAAGAGGAGATTGAGAGGGGACTTAATAGCAGCCTTCAACTACCTGAAGAGAGGTCCGAAAGAGATTGGAGCTAGACTTTTCTCAGCGGTGGCAGATGACAGAACAAGGAGCAACAGTCTCAAGTTGCAGCAAGAGAAGCCTAAGTTAGATATTAGGAAGAATTTTCTCACTAGGAGGGTAGTAAAACACTAGAAGAGATTATCCAGGGAGGTGGTGGAAGCTCCAATCTTGGAGGTTTTGAAAACCAGGCTAGTTAAAGCTTTGGGATGATCTAGTTGGGGCTGGTCCTGCTTTGAGCAGGGGGTTGGACTAGATGACCTCCTGAGTTCCCTTCCAGCCCTAACCTTCTATAATTCTATGTCCAAAATCATATAGATATATGTAGAGAGCAGAACATAATCTATGCAGTGATAAGTGACATAAATAAGTATAATGTAATTGTCGCGGGGCACCTCGCTGCCCCGCTCCTAGAGAGGGGAAAACTGCTGGGGAAAAGCCCTAGCAGGGATAATGAGCGCAGCTGTGAGTTGCCAGGGCAACCCCAGATAGATTAACTCACACCTGACGGTGGTCAGCTGGTAAAAGGCCTGGCCCTTATGAAGCCCAGGTCTAAGGCCAGGCTGGCAGTTCCCTGCCAGCAGCCAGAGAGGCAGGAGCTCCCTCAGCCATGATACGAGAAGCAGTGAGAACTGTAGGTACTGCCTAAGCCAGGTAACAGAAGGCAGCTCTAAGATGTTGGAGCAATGTGGTTATAGCCAGGTGGCTTATAGTTATGTTGTAGCCTAGGGGCTTTTGTTTTGTTTTGTTATTACACCGGTGGTTTGGGCGAAGCTAATAGGGGTTGGAGGAGGCCTCGTAGGGACCTACACGGGTGTGGGGCCCTAGCGCCAGTGAGGGCGCAATATTCTCAGGGGGAACCCCCAGCAGTGTGGGAACCCTGGCGCCAGGGAGTGCGCAACGAACTCATACAGGGACCCACAGTGGCGTGGGGACCCCGGCGCCAGTGAGGGCGCAGTATTGTTAGGGAGCCCAGCGTGGGCACAGCAAGCTCCAGAGAAAGGGAACTACTGAGTAGCCCAGTGCGGGCGCGGTGAGCCTCTGAAGAAGGGCTTAGCGCTGCAGTAAACCCCAGAGAAGGGTGAAGTGCTGCAGTGAACCCCGGCGAGAGGGGGTAGTGGTGCGGTGAGCCCTGGAAGAAGGGGGGTAGCAGCGCGGTGGGTCCGAGAGTCTGGGGGCGTAGCTGAGAAGTCCCCAGAGTGGGCGCAGAAGGCCCCAGGAAGGGAGCAACGTTGAGAAGCCTAAGCGTGGGTGCAGAGAGCCCCAGACGGGGGGCGGTATTTTAGAAGCCCGAGTGTGGGCGCAGAGAGAGAGCCCCAGAAAGGGGGTGTTTATCGAGAAGCCCCAGCACGGGCGTAGCAGGCCCCAGACGGGGGGGCAACATTACAGGGAAGGCCCCAGAGAGGGGCGACATTACAGGGAGGCCCTGAGTGGGCTCGGAGAGCCCAAGAGGGGGCAGCGCAACAGAAGAGGCCCGAGAGATGGGCAGTGTACGTATAGAATGACAGACCAATGTCTATCCCATCTGCGAGGCTTGGGGCGTGGTATCGGGTGGTTGGAGCCACGCATAGCCCATAAGGCTAGGGTGCCTGGAATGCACCTAGTGTACAGGGAGACCCCGGTGGGTCCGGAAGAACACGGGGACAGAGGTCCCAGCTAACCGTGCCTAGGAGATGTAAGGCAGCCTCCCAACTTATCCCAAGATCAAAGACGTGGCGGGCGAGAATAGAGGGTGCCCTTGGGCCGAATAGGCGCGGAGAGGGGGCCTTAAGGAGATCACGGCCCTCCTGGAGGACCCCACCGTGACAGTAATGTAGGCTTTCTAATGAGACCACATATGGTATATGAATGCAGCAAAATGCCAGAAAATAATCATGGGTGTTGGTTGTAGCTGTGTTGGTCTAAGGACATGGGCAGACCAGGTTCTTTAGGTAAATGTGATATCTTTTATTTGACCAAGTAAATAGTTGGAAAAACTGGTCTTTGCAAGCTTTTGTGCACAAACACCCTTCTTAAGGATATGGGCTAAGTACAGACAGTCAAAAAACCTGAGGCTGAATCAGGTTAGTCTAAACTGCAGTGATTAAATTGAAAAACAACTGGACATTTACTTTTGATTCAGGAAATGCATTCACATGCCTGCAGTTCTTCAGGCCAGAAGCCAGGGGGTACTAAAGCATGGCTTTCTGGTACATAGCCAGCATGGGCTGTGTGTTCACTTCCTCTTCCTGGTGCCCCCAAGGTCTTTGGGATTTGCAGTCCAGACACACAGCAGCAGGTCTCTTTGCTTCCAGGTGCCTCTGGGAGTTGTAGTCCACAGTCACAACCAGCAGTAAGTTTGAGCGGGGGAAGGGGTGTTTAACCTCCCTCCCTGGCTCCAGACCCCAGACAAGGTTTGCTGGTGGGGTGGGGGGAGGAGAAGGGTTTGGGCAGCAGGGGAAGGGGAGACAGGGACTGCCCATCTCTGCTGGAGCAGATGGCCCGGCCCAGCCCAGGGCTGAAAAGTGTTCTGGGAGACTGGTTTAACTTGAATCAGGAAGGGGTCTGGGACAGAAGTTTTATAAACTTGTTTGACCCAAATCAGTTAAATCTGATGCTACGTTCAACCAGGTTTATCTTAAACCAGTTTGGGTTTAAGATAAACCTGGGTTTTGAAACTAGTTTAAGTGCACTGAACTTATATTCTGTTACAGGTTTAAATCAGTTTCTGATGACTTAAACCAATTTGTGTAACTTCTGTCCCTAGCCAAGGAGAGTCTGCTGCTGTTTTGTGTTCTGGCTGGAATAGAAGCCAATATGCAAAATGCAGGTCTGTGAAAATACAAATGTGTGGCACTAAGGACCAGGAGTCATTGGAGACAATAGGGCTAGGGACAGGAGTTACACAAACTGGTTTAAGTGACCAGAAATTGGTTTAAACCTGTAGCAGAACAGACCGGGGTGGGGAGAAGGGAACTGCCCCTTCCCCCCCGGGGAAACCCCGGCTGAGGTCTGGGGCCAAGGAGGGATGTTTAAACACCCCTTCCCCTATTCAAACTTACTGCTGGCTGTAGAAATGTATGGCAGACTTGGATGCCATCCTGGCATGGAATGTTGGTCTATAAACTGGTAACAGCCATGGTGGCTAAGAGGGTATTGCTGGGAAGGTTGTCTCTATTTTTAAAGTTTTCATAGTCTTTTGTGTCTTAGACAAAACTTGTTCTTTCGTTGACAAGAGGTTTTAGTATGGATTTGATGAAACCTGGTATTTCCTCAGTTAAGGTTGTATGGTTGGATATTATAGCTCGGTCCAGGTTCCATGGTTTGTGGATTTTAGGGAGCATGTAAAAAGTCCCTGGATTGAGTAGTGAGGGGGCTCAAGTTCTGTAGTTTTTCTTATAGTTCAGATAGAAATGATTCGATGGTTGTTTTGAGTTTTAGGATAAAAAGGAGAGCTGGATCTTCTTCTAGTCATTCATAGTAGGTGGTGTCAGAGAGTTGTCTCTTGGTTTCTTTTACATAGTCTTCACAGTTAAGGATAGCTCCTCCTTTATCTGCTGGTTTGATTACTATTTGGTGGTTGGATCTCATGGCCCTTCTCTCTGAGAGGGAGACATTGTTATGGTGGTGTTTGTTGTTTATTATTTCATTGTTCATTCTTTCCCTGAAGGTTTGAATTTTACCCACTGTGAGGTGTCCAATCTGATTTTTTTTGTGGGCGTTAATCTTTTCTTCAGTGTTGTCAAAGGATGAAGTGTTGTTGGAAGTGGATTCATTTTGGTTGTGGAAATATTCCTTGAGATGGAGACATTGGGAAAAATTCTTCTAGTTCTCCACATTGTAGTATATTATTAGGGTATTTTTCCAGACAGAAAGTTAGGCCTATAGAGAGGACAGAATTTTCAGCTTTGGTAAGTGTGTGTGTGGAGAGATTGATAATATTTGAGGATTGATTGGTTCTTTCAGTTTCATCGACTGTGCGGTTGGAATGTTACAAGATATTGGTGTTGTTTCTCTCATGGTTGTGTGGCTGTGAAAGTTGTTCGTGTAGTAATTGGTTCCATTTCTTGTTTTATGTACGGACGTTTTAAAAAATCTTTAGTAGTCTCTTTGTATATGTTGTATACTGTTTTTCGAAGATATCCAGATTCATCTCTTCTAAGTTAAACAACAGAACCATCACCATTTCTGGATCTCACACCTATACCTCCAAAAAAATAAAAATACCCAATTCCCTGTGGGTGTTTGTCTTCTCACAAAATAACCACTCTTGGTGTCTCGGTTCTGATCCTCAAAGGGAATTTACAAAACACCTTTCAGAGAAGAGCCTACAAACGTCACTTCATAAATCTACTGGATAAAAAAAAACCTGAACTAAATATAGACATTAGATTTATAGCACATTTATAATCTGCTTGCCATCCAATAATCCCAGGTAAGGTCTCCACATTTTACCAGCTACATTCTATCACCAGGTCAGCATTTCCCCTTCCCACCCCCCACCTATCTGTCTCACACCTACCATCTCCCATGGTCTCTGATCCTCACTGCTGCACATTTGCATTTTCACAGACCCACTTTTTGCATTTTATTCATAGACTCATAGATTGTAGAGGTGGAAGGGACCCAGTGGATTGTTGCGTCTGACCCCCTGCCCCTGGCAGGAAAGAGGACTGATGTCAGACAATCCCAGCCAGGTGATTGTCAAGCCTCCTCTTGAAGACGGGTCACAAACTGGCTGGAGGGCCGCACCCAAAGAGTGGTGGTGGACAGGTCATTTTTGACCTGCAGGGATGTGGGCAGTGGGGTTCCCCAGGGCTCGGTCCTAGGGCCCGCAATGTTCAATATCTTCATCAGCGATTTGGACGAGGGGGTGAAAGCACCTTGTTCAAGTTTGCAGATGGCACTAAGATGGGAGAAGTGAGCATGCTAGAAGAGAGGGACAGGCTACAACTAGATCTGGACAGGTTACAGAGGTGGGCAGATGAGAATAGGATGGGGTTCAATACAGACAAGTGCAAGGTGTTGCACCTGGGGAGGAAGAACCAGCAGCATACCTACAGGCTGGGGAACTCCCTTCTCATCAGCACAAAGGCAGAAAAGGATCTATTGATTCCAAGATGAACGTGGGCCACCAATGTGGGGACACAGTCAGGAAGGTTAACCATACCTTGTCATGTATCCATAGATGCATCACGAGCAGGTCCAAGGAGGTGATCCTCCCTCTCTATCCGACATTGGTCAGGCTGCAGTTGGAGTACTGTGTCCAGTTCTGGGTGCCACACTTCAGGAGGGATGTGGATAGCATCGAGAGAGTCCAGAGGAGGACCACTCACACGCTCAGGGGGCAGCAGGGCAGGCCCTATGAGGAGAGGCTACGGGACCTGAACCTGTTCAGCCTCCACAAAAGAAGGCTGAGAGGGGATCTGGTGGCCGCCTATAAACTTGCCAAGGGGGACCAGCAGGCAGTGGGAGAGTCCTTGTTCCCCTGAGCACTACCGGGGTAACAAGGAACAACAGCCATAAGTTGACCGAGAGTAGATTCAGGCTAGATATCAGGAGGTGCTACTTCACAGTCAGGGCGGCTAGGAGCTGGAACCAAATTCCAGGGGAAGTGGTGCTTGCCCTTACCCTGGGGATCTTCACAAGGAGGTT